AAGTCTACTGCTATTGCTATTGCTATCATTCGGGTGGGGACAGATTAGCTTTATCCCCAGGCCTGACGGGCTAGCCAGGTCTTAAGAGCTGTGCGGAAGGTTTGGAGGGTGGTGAGGGTACGAATCTCCACGGGGAGATCGTTCCAAAGGGTCGGAGCTACTACTGAAAAGGCTCTCCTCCGTGTGGTTGCCAGTCAACACTGACTGGCAGATGGAACTCGGAGGAGGCCTAATCTGTGCGATCTAATTGGTCGCAAGGAGGTAATTGGCAGGAGGCGGTCTCTCAAGTGAGAATTGTCATAGACCCAAGTTCAGAACAAACTAGATAAACATGTGGTTCATGCTCATCAACCTCGTTCAGCAACCAACTGAAGTTGTGACAGAATTGATCAAGTGTTACTTGGGTCCAGTTTTCGACATTCCAACCATCACCGTGTCCCTACAGTCATGTATCTTGATTTGGGTCCTTGGGAAACTGCTTGCATTTACAACCGTTGTAGTGTTGCCCCATGGCTACACCAAGTCTGCCATTTGCAACTTTCCCCACCTACTTCCCACAAACAAAGTCAACAGGAAATTTAGCAAGAAAGTTTGCAAGTTGTTCTGGTCCCTCTGAACTTCTTACACTCACATCCCACCCCACTACATCATCTTTCCAGCCTTTATTTATGGACACCCAACTATACCATCCACCTCCTGTACTTGCACATCAGTGGTCGTATACGACCAGTAAGCCCCAATGTGGGCTTACCAGTGCCTGCTGGGAGCACTAGGTACTGTTCCGGTACAGTGCTCTAAAGGGCCCACCCACCAACCTGTTCTCCTTACCGCTATTTGAGCCGATTGTGGCTTTCACGCACGCACACGGAGTGTACGGCGCCTACATGACGCTTCGCCGAGCAACTGGAGCATTGCGGGCGGTAAGTACGTATGCACGTGCTGCGTGTGTTCACATGGTGGACGCCAGGCCCCATTGCAGCATCCCGGTTGCAACAGGATCCGGAACCCACTACTGTTGCACACACAAGTTTTCCTTCTTTGTATGTATTGGGCAAAGCTGAGATGGGTTGGACCCTTACTCCTAATTCTCCTGAGTAACAAAATTCAACTGAAGGAAAAGTCCACTATATGACAGATTTTAAATATCATCAGAGCAAATGATAAGTGGATTTCCTGAAAGATTGGATATTCACTTCATGGCTGCCTGGCTCAGGATGTTCCATTTCAGAAAAGAAGGGCCTTTTGTTGGCATTCACAAGGAGAAGTAGGAAGAAACAGCAGTCCACTACCCCAATTCTAAACTCTGGTTATGTCCCAACACTCCATCATAACACTTCTCTGCATTACATTTCAGAGCTTGGAAATACTCGGCGCATGTGGAAATTATATATATTCTATAATGGCCACATTGGGTATCCCTGTGCCTTCTCCAATCAGGGCACACTATAACTGTTCACAAAACTAACATAACTTTGTCAATGAATAATCAATTTTTTGGATTTGCACATTTACACTGAATTACACATTTACAGACACATTTGGAAAGCCAGTCTGGCATAATGGTTAAGGCACCAGGCTAGAAATCAGGAGACTGTGAGTTTTAGTCCCACCTTAGGCGCAAAGCCAGCTGAATGACCTTGAGCCAGTAACTCTCTTTCAGCCCTAAAAAGAAGACAATGGCAAATCACTTCTGAAAAACCCTGCCAAGAAAACTGCAAGGATTAGTCCAAACAGTCACCAGGAGACAAGACTGACTCAAAGACACATTTGGATGCTATTTAGAAAGGTAAATTGTTTAAAAGAAAAAGAAACTAACTGAAAATTAAACACAGCAAGGAAAGTAATTATTATTGGCTTGGATTGAGTATCACCACAATGCTTAGTCCAGATGGTCAGAGCTCAACAGACAACAGTTAAGTTATTCTGTAAGAGTTCACATTGGCATTGAAAGATAAAGTCACTATTTCTTTGTTATTATATTTACACGCATTTGAATATACACTTTGTCTCATCTTCTTACTATAAGCAGATGTGTATAAGAATAAATAGGATTATCATTGATCTGCTGCCACCATATCCTAACTCATCTTTGAGTCATCTTTCCACTGAATCTCTAAGCTTATTACTTCCATCAGTCAGAACAATGTACAAATACTTTGCTTCTTTGTGGAAAGGGACTACAGCACCCATCTGGGACTGACCTGCCAGGATTTGCCTAATCCTGGATGGATTCCATTAGATCAGACATTAATTGCTAAAAACACAGGGCACAATTACTTGCAGTCTTTTTGCTACTTAGAGGCAGCGAACTGAAAGAAGTGATTTAAAGCAGAAACGAAAAAGTCTCTAGAAATACTGCAAGTTCTTAGAAGCAAAAAAATTGATAAATATAATAGGGGAGTCTGCTGTGGCAAACTAAAAGGAAGGGGGGAAAAACTATCAAGGAGAATGCAACAGATTTTACTCACAGAGTAAGCCAAGTCTTTTAATTTCTGCACCAAAGCTGGTAACAGTGGGCAAAGAAATATGACGCATACTCTTCATATCAAGCATTTTCTAAAAGGCTGATATCTGCAGTATTCATAAACAGCTAATACCATTAGCTGTTCCTAAATGAGTCACTTTGCATCATCTATGGTGGCTCATCCTAATGCCCAAATACTGCACTCATGCCTGCAAAGGCAGAAATAGAGGCACAAATGATACTTCACTATGCTTTTCTCTTTAAAAAAAAGTTGCTGGGTATGTACATGAAATCCCATTTTAAAATAAAATATGCTTTGAATTCAAATATGCTTGATATATTTCTTGGCTTTCATCCTGCAAAGTGAGCTTGCAAAATGAGTGCTTTGAGGAACCTTTAGATTTAACTATAACTGACATCAATTATAAACCTTGGATGCTTGAATTCAAATGGGCATTTTAATTCACATCACACGTGTTTAAAGGTGTCGCTTAAATTAAGGACTAGTGTTGTGCAAATATATTATTCAGAAGAAAACTTCAACGTCACCATGTGATTTCAAAATGTATGGTTAATGCACAAATAAAATGAATAACTCAGCACTATCTCCAATAATTTATAACATGAGGACCTAAGTACAGTACAGTATGCTGTAAATGCAAGGTAGACAATAGGAAATTTTTAAAAAGTCACTTAAGATTACAGCTAATTCAATCATAAGCAAATTAAAGCATTCAAAGAAGAACACCAAAACTAACTCAGTATCTTTTTTAATGAGACATTAGCCAAAACTTTCTGCTTGCCAAACAAAGCACGAATTTGGAACAAAGAGGGGAGATGACAGCATTCCAAGGGGGATATTTGCCAATTTTTAAATTACCAAACACAGAGAGAGAGAGTCGCGTTTTAAATTAAGTTGAGTAATTCCCAAAACTATGAAAAGCATGCAGGCAAAAAGTATTTGAATTCAGAAGATTGTGGTAAATCCTTGAAACAGAAGCAACCAGCACCAAGTTTCCCCTTACCTAGATCAGATGCCATGGCAATCATGGATTTGATACCCACATCGATCTAATGCTGTTGTGTCGACAAAAGTCACTTTCGCAATGGCAAGATCATATGATAGGCTTAGATTCTCTCCAGCCCAGCAGACCTAGGAGGAGCTCCACATCCCTGCACTCTGCAAGTTTATAATTCAAAAGCATCATAAGCAAATTGCCTGGTCTCCCCCTAAGGGTTCGGCACTGCAGAGAATGCATCACAAAGCACACCAATGAGCTAGAAATTGTGGGAAGGCAGAAAAAGCATCGATTTTGTTTCAGTTAAAATAGCTGAAAGGGAAAACTAGTTGTTTAAGCTTTCAAACCACTGAAGGAAAAATGCAAGGGGAAGCTAAAAGGTTTTCAACAGCTATTACATCTGTTTAAATTCTTCAAACTCTGTATTAAGAGAGAAAGCCAAGCAAGGTTACCTAATACAATAGGCATTTGTATATTATATTTTTTTCCTCCCTTTTCCTAAGCTGGGTGCATTCTTGGTGCCACTTCTATTGACCGAGAGTATTTAACATACCAAGCTTGTTCTATGAGCTTATTTTGAGAGGAATAGGAAAAATTAAGAGCAGAATGGCAGCATGAACGGTGGCTATGCACAAATTAGTAAGAAAGCTTAATTACAGCATAAATGGTTGTGAAGACTGAAAAGAAAACTGTTGGCATGTGACAATGGACTGGACTGGACTATTCATATACCAAGTTCGCCACGATAAAATAATTGCAAAGCAGCCTTATTGCTTACCTATAATAGGCAAATGGAGGCTTGTTTTTTTTACAAGTTTGATGTTTAAATGTTTTTAGTGTTATGATTATGGACTTTAACAATTAATGGGGGTAATATGCAGCCTTGGAAGACTTCTACCTATCTTGAGGATCCTCCCGGGTAACCCTTGTGGCATACCTAACTAAATCTCTTTTGTCTACTTAAATTCAAAATGTTACTCAAACCGCTAAATGTAACATGGATTGAGTATGTTGTCATTTTTAAAGGAAAATTCAGTTTATCCAGAATAGCATATTTTCAAATTTAGGGGGAAACGGTCACTATAGTATCTGTAAATATTTCCTCCGTCCTTCAGGAACTGATCTAATTAGCTGTTAGGTAACCACTAAAAGAAAATTACATTGAATATTAAAGACATACTCGGTCTTAATGACCACTGCAAAAAAGTCATAAAATTTGTCACTCACATGATGACCACCTTTATGGCCTTCATGTCCTATGACCTAATTGCCAGGTTCAATTACAGGTAGTCCTCAACTTACAAAAGTTCATTTAGTGACCATTCAAAACTACAACAGCATTGAAAAAAGTGACTTGTGGCCGTTTTTCACACTTACAACTGTTACAGCATCTCTTGGTCACTTGATCAGAATTCCGATGGTTGGCATCTGCTTCATATTTATGATGGCTGTTGTCTCCTGAGGTCACATGATCCGCTTTTACGACTTTTCAACAAGCAAAGTCAATGGGGAAATCCAGATTTACTTAACAACCATGTTACTAACTTTAATAAATGCAATAATTCACTTAACAACTGCGGCAAGAAAAGTCGTAAAATGGGACAAACTCACTTAAGAAATGTTTCACTTAGCAATATAAATTTCAGGCTCAATTGGGTTTGTAACCGTACAGTCTTTAATCGAGGACTACCTATAACGGTATTCTATTTAGAGGTGGTATTCAGCAGGTTCTGACCAGTTCTGGAGAACCAGTAGCAGAAATTTTGAGTAGTTTGAAGAACTGGCAAATACCACCTCTGACTGGCCCCACCGCCATCTATTCTCTGCCTCCTGACTCCCAGCTGATTGGGAGGGAATGGAGATTTTACAGTATTCTTCCCCTGCCACGCCCAACAAGCCACGCCCACAGAAACCGATAGTAAAAATGTTTGAATCCCACCACTGATCCTATTATATTACATAGCACAGAGAAATTGGCTATATGATCCTCATGATAAGGAATAGGATCAAAACAGGTTGAGTCTCTTCACTATTCATGAAAGAAAATCAATATCAAAACTTGCAACGGACGAGCGCCAGTTTACAACACTGTTAATGGAACACCAAAGTTTATTCATTTCCTATTCTACAGTATAGCCATAACCGGTAATTTTGAGAAAGTTTAATTACATTTGCATTGCCTCTAAATCTTTGTGTCACTTGCCGCAACCATTGAAATAATTTCTTTGTTAAGAAGGTACAATTTCTTCTACCACATGTGGCTCCCCTTTGCTATCTAGGCTGTTCAAGAAATCAGCAAACCTACATTTCTGTTGTTTTCTTTTTTCATTCCAAAGACTTCTGAAAGGGAGGATGGAGAAAGGAAAGGGAGAAAGCACGAAAAAGATAAAAGGGAAGGAAGCCCAAGGGGCTCCAACAACCAGTTGAATGGAAGAAGAAGGGATAAAATCCAAAGTGTCTATTGGAAGTAGATGGTACACGTAAGGTCTTTGGATTTACAACACATTATTTAGTGACAGTTCAAAGTTACAATGGGATTGAAGAAGTGACTGTTATGACCATTTTTCACACTTATGGCCCTTGTGGCATCCCCATTGCTAAGTCCTTGACTTACAACCAGCACTAAGTCCTTGATCTACAACCTGTCAACCGTGGCGGCTGAAGGGTGGCGCTCATTGGCTAAAACGCACCAGCCAGTGAGCGGGAGATTGCAGAGCGCTGATTGGCTGCCCTGTCTGACGGATAGGGTCTAAATAGCTGTCAGACAGAGTGTGGTGCTGAAGCTCTTGTTCTTTCGTTGCTAGTTAGTTGAAGTCTAATAAAATGTTGTGGTTAATGTTTGGATCGCCTCCGTTTGTCCTGCTGCCTCACAATGGTGACATGAACAAAATTCAGACGCTTGGGGGAATAGAAAAGAAGAGAATAAAAGAGAAGAGAAGTAGAAAGTACCTTGGAGGTCATCTACTCCAATCCCCTGCTTAGGCAGGAAACCCTATGCCACTTCAGACAAATGTTTATCCAATCTCTTCTTAAAAGCTTCCAATGTTGGAGCATTTACAACTTCTGGAGCAGTGGTGGGATTCAAATAATTTAACAATCAGTTCTCTGCCCTGATGACCAGCTGGGTAGGCGGGTATCAGTGGTCATGTGACTGGGTGGGCGTGGGCCAACTCAACGTCACTCAGGTCCATGGGCACTTCGCCTTTGCTGTTACAATGTAACAAGGGTTAACCAGAGAGGCAGTTTCTGTAAACAGGGTAATAAAGATTAGGCTAGAAACAACACCAGAATGTTTCCTTCCTGTCTTCCTTACAGGATTAGCCCTGTAAAGTGGGGGGACGGGGACAAAATGATATTTCTTCCAACAACTGGTTCTCCAAACTGCTTAGAAAGTTAAGAACCGGTTCTCCCAAATTGGTGCGAACTGGCTATATCCCACCACTGTTCTGGAGGCAAGTTGTTCCACTGATTAATTTATGACACTTGAGAGAGCCCAGGGTCTGACAAGCAAAGTCAATGAGGAAACCAGATTCATTTAACAACCATGTTACTAATTTAACAACTGCAGCAATTCACTTAATAATTACAGCAAGAAAGGTCGCAAAATGGGACCAAACTCACTTAACACAAGTCTCAGCAACATAAACGTTGGACTCAATTGTGGCCGTAAGTCGAGGACTACCTGTACTATGTAATATTTTACTGCACTTCCTCTGTTGAGCTGTGTCTTCCTCATCACTTTCTTTGTTTTTTCTTGTCAGCCTTTAAGATTGCATAAAAGGAAGGAGGAGAGGGAAAAACTGAGAAGGGCTGAAGTAGAACTAATGCCAGAAAGATTGTTGTCTCCTTGGCAACTCATGATTTGGATCCTATAAACCGCTTGGAAAGAAGGATTGAGGGATGAGGTCTGAAGAACAGAGAGAAATCCAGAGAGATAAAGCCTGATCTCTTATCTTAAACTGCAAGTTTCTATTCATTCTGGACAGAAAAAGTTTTTGAGCTTTAATCAAGAACATGTGATGGGTGTTATAGTTTAGCTGGTAAACAGATCTCAAGCCAAGTTCAGTAGTTATAACAAATAGTTCCACTGTCTGGTGGGAACAAGAGGAAGCCAACTTAAATGTATATCAAGTCCTCTTATAACAAGTATAAAGAGATCAATAGCATCCTTTTTCACTTACAAAGAATCCACCTTTGGAATCAAGGTTGGGGTTGCTTTACTTCTCATTCCTAAAGATCAAAACAGTTGAATCAGAATTTCAAAGCACAAAAATTTGCTGTGTGGTTAGCAAATGATATACTGGTGACGATAATTTTCAGTCTTACAGGTTAGATAAAGTTTAGCACCCATAATGTTTGAAACTATTGATTTACTAAAGGTTTGTTCTTGCTCTTATTTTGTAGGGCTTTATAGGCTTTTCCAATTACAACCATTTATACATTTGTGAAAGTTTAGTTTTAGTTTGTTATTTCTGAATATCAACTAGATATTCACTAGATATTCAATGCCCTGATAATCTTCTAAGTTTCTCTTTATATTACAGATCTTATTACTGTTGATAGACATTGTATTGTATTTTTTACGGTTTTTTAAATTTCATCTTTATTTTTTATAAACTATCCTAGGTGGCACACATACATAATACTCCTTCCTCTCCCTATTTCTCTCACAACAACAAATCTGTGAGGGGAGTTGAACGGAGAGAAAGTTATTGATCCAGGGTCACCCAGTCAGCTTCCATGCCTAAAACAGGATTAGAACTCACAGTCTCCGGGTTTTTAGGCCAACATCTTAACACCAAACGGATTCTCAGTTTCATAGTTAGTAGCTGGTTTCACTTTTTCAAAGTATCATTTACTCTATTAACATTTTATCTTGTATTTTTATCTGATGATGGTTGCTTGATGTGTGTACAGTAACCAACATACAATCTTTTAAAATAACTTTCTTATTAAAATTATAATAAAGTACACAACAAGCAAAAATACAATCCAGTCTCAAAAAATGAATAAAGACTTGATCAAACATTGGTAGAAAAGACTACTACAGAATTTAATAGTAAACAGTTGAAAAAAGAAGCTGGTATACCCATTTCAAAAATGTGTCTTAAAAACAAATTAAAATTAAAATGTGTCTATCTTTCTATACTATCAACATCATTTCTTGTTACAAAAAAAAAGGCCAAACTCATTACAAAGCAAGCAGATACAGTTTTACCAGAATGTATGCAGATAACTAGGAGTTTCTGGCAATATTCCCCAAAGTTGGGTCCAATGAGAACAATACATTGTATAGTTCCACAAGCCATCGGTTTAAAGGAGAAGAGGCTTGCAAGATTTTCAACAGCTCTATTCCAGGCTCTCTTAACAAAAAAAGCATTTATAAGAACAGTTAACTGCTGCTCTCAAGAGTCATCTAGGAGGACAGGGTTCTATTATCAGAAAAGTTGGGATAAAAGCTTCTGGCCTTAGCAGGAATTAGGAATGCTTCATCTTGACCACAATTTTTAAACTTTTAGATTTTCAAGTTTTAGCAACTCCCGAGAGAGAGGAAACTTTGCCCAAATAAAAACCAGTTTCCTACCACCGTGTCTCTGAAGATGTGCCTTTATAACACTAAGTAGTTTGCAAAGAAACGCTTCTGTACCGTGTTTCAAATCATGCATGCAGAGATCCAACTTAGTGTGTTTAAGATGGTTTAAGACATGATGGCTAACCTTT